TAAAAACACCTTCTAAGAGAAACTCTGTAAAGTGAGCAGCTAATTATCAAAGGGTTCTCATCAGGAAACAGGAAGTCGATGTTCTCTCGAAGCTCTTCTTCTTCGATGACTGAATCCATAGACTGATAGAAGAGTTCAGAGGACTTCATCTTCTCACTTAGATAAAAAGGACAAGATTAAAATCTGACACGATAGGTGGTTATTACCCATCAAAAGAAAACGTGCCTCTCATGTATCTTTGTACATGTGTGTAAAATGAACATGATATGCCCCGTTGCTTGTTTCCCGTGTCTCGCACAACTTGTTTCCCCCCGGTTTGCTTTCTAAGGATGATAGACTGTTAAGCAGCCCCACGACTTTGCACTGTCTCAGAGTGACATGGATGTTGAATCCGTGTTTGTACTTTGTTTTGTTTTTTTAAACTACCAGACTGCATGTTCTTTGCATCATCAGATTGTCTATATATTTTTTTCCTTTCTTTTTTTGTCTCTGACCATTAAACACACGTTGTTAGGAATTCCTGTCGTGTGGTTTGTTTTGGAGCAAGAAAATCTGAACTAAACGTGTGTCTGTCTGATTAAAGCCACAAATTACACAGCTTTTCTTAACTGCAGCTCACACAACTGTTTGGTCCTCTAGTTTTTGGGTGTTTAAACTTTTTCTCTTGACATGAGTGTGAAGAGAGAGAGAGAAGCCATTTTAGGTCATCATTCAATTTTTTTTAAGATTTTTTTAATTTTTTTAAGAAAAGAAAAGAAAGCTGTAGAAAAATCCATATTTTAAGAAATAAATGTGTCCATTCCACTAACATACTTTTCCCCCAAGTAGTCCTCATATAAGTTGGCAGAAATAAAAGTACCCATTTAAAAAAAAAAAAAAAAGTCTCTTGAACTCAGTTATAATACTTAACAATGACTTCGCAGATATTTGAAGCTTCTAACCTAACTGGACTTTTTATTAGTAACACACAGTTGCTTTTTTCCCCCTCGTACATTCAATCAGGTGCTGGAAACATTGGAGATTTTGGTCCACATGGACACGATCACGTCACACAGATACTGAAGATTTGTTGGCTGCACATCCGTGGTGTGAATCCTTTTCACCACATCACCAAGATGCTAGATTGGATTGAAATCTGGTGACTGTGGAAGCTGTTTGAGTGGAGGGAACTTATTGTTATTAGTTTAACGCACCTGTTTGGGATGATTTGAGCTATTTTGACCTGCTGCATTATCCTGCTGGAAGAAGCAGTTTATGATGCCACTACTACCTGTAGTGATACGCGGCAGAATGAATCCATGCTTTCATGAAATGAAATGAGCAATGACCCAGACTCATCAGACCAGGCAAAGTTTTTTTCCAGTCTTTTATTGAGCAATTCATCTCTGTTAACCATAGAGATGGTTGTATGGGGAAAATCCCAGTTTCTTAAGCATTCAGACCAGCTTCTGGAGTACCAACAACGACGTTGCACTTAAAATTGCCTTTTTCCCCCAAATGTGATGCTCAGACGTGCATGGATAAATGGACTAAGCTGCTACCAAGTGATTAGCACATTAGATAACAAGCAGCCAAACGGGTGTACCTAACAATAGTGAGTATATGCAATATTCGAAAAATCTTCAGGTCTGCTTTTTAACGTTAAGGTACTTTATTGCTGCCCAACAACCCCAGATTTATTTCAGAAGTCTGCACTGCATTATAGCACAGATAAAAAAATCTGTTAAGCTAAAGCAGATATTCTGCCTGATTCCAGGTGATCTACTTTACATTAACCATGTTACAGTCCCATCACAGTTGACTTTCACTATATAATGACTGAGCTAATGGTGCGTAAACAAATTAAAAGTAAAAAAGCACATAAAATATATCAACAATGAAATTATTTCAAGCATATTTAAAGTTAGTGCCATACAGATTTTCTTTAAATAAGCAAAACAACAACAAAAAACAAACCCTCTTAACAGTAGGCTGCCACCAGATGGCGCTGTCACACAAAACATCTCATCTTCCCGGAGGATTTCTAGTCATTCTAAGGGGATAAAGCTTGACATTCTCCGTGCAAAGGATTATTCTGCGTGTTTCGTCTGGTGTGTGTGGAAAAAAAAAGAAATGCATCATCTGAGGTCCTATTCAGCCTCAAAGTGTCGCTGTACTGTAATCGAGGCAGGCGAACTTGTTTTCATTCCCGGGGAAAAGTGCTCATTATTCCACTCACTGTTTCTCGTGGAGGAGTGCTCGTGTACTTGAAGTGTAAAGCACAGTGGGGAACATCCCGTTCACCTCAGAGATCGTGTCGGCGATGAAAGAGCCATCACTCCTGCCTGTTTTCGATGTTATGGACCAGCAAGATTATAATTGCTTTATAATTATAATAATAAAGATTCATATTTTATGCCAAACTAGAAAAAACAGGGAGTCTGTTTTGAGCAGAGCATATTTTCTTTACATATAAATTCATTTATATAAAAATATTTTCTATTAAAACAGTCTGAAAGCTTCAACGTCAATTTTAATATAACTTTATCACTCACACGCCTGGTTTCCAACATAAAACACGATACTGGCAAGAGTTAGTCAGCTGTATCAGTCACACCTGTAGGGAAATCATGGACACAGTTAATGCAACACCTTCTGTGCACATTGCAGGTGCAGGAAATGTGAACCAGTGGCGATTCTAAGTTTAAACGTTTAGGGGAGCTCAGCTCTCCTTCATGATGCCAGCAGTGCCTTGTAAATAAAATAATGGAATATGCTGTTTGCAAATATAATCAGCCCTTTTTGCATTTGCACAACTCAGTTCAGTTGGATACACATTACAGTGTCACCTTCAAAAGCAATCTAAGCAGTTGGATGACCTATTGTAATGTCCGAGAATAATTCAGAGTGAATAATCAGACCTAATCCACCTGGTTCAACCTATTTTAGGATTGAGCTTTTTTTTTTTTTTAGCTTAGGTTTAGATATCAAACCCGAGGCTAACCCTAGAAGAGCAGGTTGCAAAGCCAAAACTGATTACAGTACAGCACAGTGCTTAGTGATGTCATCATCAATGAATCTGGGTAAAACAAAAGCTACAGCTTTATAATTTTTGGTGAATTTGACTACATGTCCACACTTCCGGTTTATTTTGCTCTTTCTCTGTCTTTGTGCCGTCACCCAAAAGTTAAATGTTACAGTGAATAAAAGATATAAATGGATCCATATCAGTTCATAGCATAATTCAAAGTAAGTAAAGCCTGCAGCTGGACATTGATCTGGAGCTGTACTGTAAACAACCACTGAAGCCCAGTTTGCCCATAAAAGGATTTTTTTTCTGTTTTACAAACTAAAAAAATAAAGTATATGTGAGCAGACTAGAGAATCATAATGATTTAGGCTACATTAGCCAAATTTGTTTATGTTAGTTTGTCAAATAAAAACAAGAAGATGCTTTATAAGTCACAGTGATTTCCACGTGTTATCAGAACAGTTTGTACTTCTGCTATATTCCAGTTAAAGTGTGTTTTAAATCCACATCACTGATTTGTGTCATTACATTACCTCTTCATTAGGGGTGCACTGATAAATGGGTCTAAACTTATTGAAAAAAACTTCAATTATGTTTAATTTTGCTGACATAAAAGCAGTTAAATTAAAAGTTACTAAAGATACTAAAGTCAGCTTATCATTTGTGGGCTGATGGCTACGTCTTGTGGTGGTTTCCTAAAAGAAAATCAAAAGGAAAAGCTCTTTGGGACCATTGCACGTGACAGTATGAAGCAGAGCAATATCAGAGACTTTAAATGAGAAGGACTTTGGTAATAATCAGGGGAAAATATCTCTTCATTTCCAAATGTCCTGCACAGAATGTTTTGAGTGCAGAGTACAAGAAAACTGAAGGAAAGGAAAGTGAGAAAGATTTATTTTCACTTTCTCACAGGATGAAATATAAAGCACATGTATGTGTTAAAAAGATTAATAATAAATAAAATATATAATAAAAAATATCTCATGAGACTTTTGAAATATATTTAAGCTTTTATCCTTGGAAATGTTGTATTTAAATTAAAATATATTTGCTATTCACATCCTAAATACCAAGCCTGCCATCTGCACAGTTTATTGTTTTTTTTTTATTTATAAGTTACTGTTTATTTGAAAATGTCAGACCACCTCCCAGCATCACTAATGTGTCCCACATTGTTTCTCTCGAACTGTGTCTTTGCCTCACGGTTACTTCATGCATTTAAAAAGTAATTCTAAACTAATAATATGTATTTTTTTAGTCCACACTTTAAGGTCATGCTAAAGCATCTCAATTGCATTTAAGTCCTGACTGCAGTTAAGAAAACTGACAGAGTTTTCTTAATTTGTGGATAATGACTCTCACCATGGTTTGCTAAAGCCCCAAAGCCTTAGGAACGACTTTATAACCATTTCCAGACTGATAAATGCCAGTTTCTCATTTGTTCTGGAGTTTCTTTGGATTTTGGCACGATGTGCTGCTTTTTGAGATCTTTTATTTTGTTTTACTTTGTCAGACAAGGCCAGGTAGTTTTTTTTTAACCCCCTTAACAAATGACATAATCATTTGAAAACTGCATTTTTTTTGTTTTCCTGGGTTATCTTTGTCTAATATTAAAACGTGTTTGACGATCTGAAACACGAAAGTCTGACAAATATGCAAAATAAATAATAATAAATAAATTAAATAAATTAACATAAGAAAGTAGAAAGGAGATAAATACTTTTTCCACAGCAGTGAATATTATAGATACTTTGAAGGATGCAATAATATCCTATATTCTTAGTTATTACTGGATCTATTTGTGAATTAGTTTATTCATTTACCGCTTATGTAGAAATAGCAAGGATTGTTGGGTCAAACCTTATTAAAAAAGTCAGTAATGAACTTTCATGAGTAGTTATTAGTTGTTATATAGTTGTCATATTCCTGCCTTGCGCGCTATTTTGTGAATTACATTTCAATACGTCCTCAGCAATGGGGCACATGCGCACTGGCCGGTGGATCCCTCTCTGACCACGACAGACGATCTTCGGAGTTGTGTGTGTGTGTGTAGTGTGTGCGCTCCACTCCCGCTGGCTGCTATGACCTAGCTACCGGACGACACTTTCCGTTTTTCCACGCTGACCCTTCCGCCTCAAACTGCAGTCCCCACACTCAACGTTACGGTCGTTTATGGTCGCATTACCGCCACTTTTTCATCGTAGCTGCTGGCCTCCGGGGCTAGCTGGCTAGCAGAGAGGGGGTGACGGAGTGGAGCCAGCTGGTCGGACTGAGAAACGGCAGCGTTAGCAAACAAGCTAATTAGCGAGAAAGACTCAGCCTGGATTATTGCCTTTAATCAAAAGAGAGCATAGGTCTGCGGCTTCACCCACTGCAGCAAAAATGAAGATAACTGTGGATTTCGAGGAGTGTTTGAAGGACTCCCCAAGGTTCAGGTGAGTGATGACAGCCAGGCTTTTTTATTGTCCCGTCCGCTGCTTTTTTATTTATTTATTTATTTATTTATTTATTTATCTCAGGGGTAAAAGTATACAGCTAGCCGCTTGCTAAACCCTCACGCCAATCAGCAGTAAGTAGCTAGCTGTTCGTCGCCTGCTACTTTTCTATTTTTGTCCCTAAGAGAGCTGGGGCCAGCCTGGGAGGCTGCTGCTGGGACGAGGAAACCAAACAGAGACTCGCTGAGAGTCGTGGTGCAGTGGAAAGCTGCTCCAGCGCCTGTTTTCACCCCCAATATAAATTATGTAAACATAGTAAAATACATTAAATATGAACGCAGAGATTAGAGTCTGTCCCAGGATCCTTGACTGGCATGACCCTGCTTAATAGTGTATTTTTTCATGACAGCCAGCTTTGTGTTTACTGTGCGCAGCACTGCATCTGTAATTCACTTTTCTGTTTGATCACACTTATATTTCTAATTAGAAAAAAAAGACAAATCACTGGTGACTTTAAAAATAGTGTTACCGTCCATGTGACGTGTTCTCTGTGTGGTCACTTCTGAAATCACCCCCC